GACAGCATCAACAGTTAGGAGGATTCACAGCAGCGGGTCTAAATGGACGTTGTGCTGCCAGGAAATGACTACTTAGACGTAAGCGACTCATATGGGCGAAAAACACCAAATCTGTACTGCTGATCAATGGAAACGAATCCTCTGGATTGACGAATCCAAGTTTTAGATCTTTGGATCTCGGAGACGAGTGTATGTGATGCAAAGAACTAGTGAACGAATGATTACTACTTGGGTTGTGCCATCTGTAAAGCATGGTGGAGGAAATATGATGATCTGAGGTTGTTTTGGAGGCAGTACAGTTGGCAATATTTATCGGGGGCCAGGAATATTGAATCAAGATGGATATCACTCTATCCTACAGCGCCAGGTCATTCCATCTGGGACACGGCTGATCTATGGTAGATTTCTGCTTATGCAAGATACATACCTCTAAGCAATGTAAAAACTATTTGCAGAATAAAACTGAAGAAATAAGTTGACCGTCATGGAATGGCCACCCCCAAACAGCCAATTGCAAATCCATCGAATTAGTTTGGATGAACTGGACCGTAGAGTCAAAAAGCAACAACAAGGTAATACAGAAACCTTGCGGACACTATTAAAAGAGGAACGGCAAAATATTACAAGTGAATATTTACTTTCATTGGTCAAAAGAATGCCAGGAGACGGGGGTGGGTTAACAGTTATCAAGGCCAAGGGCAGATATTTTGATGAATCTCATATTTAGAATTTTTCATATTTTTGTTTTGCAATGAATGTAATTATACATTTAATAAAAATTTACCTAAAACTTTCCTTTCTATAGAGATTTAAAAAATGTTAGTTAATCTTAAACTTTTACAGAGTAGTATATATATATATATATATATATATATATATATATATAAAATATAAAACATTGAAGTCAACACTCGGGCGACAGACTGTTTCATGCTAGACGCAATCGCCCGAGTGTTGACTTCAATGTTCACTTTTATATTTATATTTACATCTTTGATACTGAGCACTTTATCCCATAAATATAGCACACCTTATAACTATATTTCTTCGTGTATATATATATATATATATATATATATATATATATATATATATATATATATATCAAAATGTAAAAGAATGAAAAGAATATAAATTCAAACGTTCATAACATTAATTTAAAAAAGGCTTTAATACATGAAGTAGAGCAGTAAATATTTATTATAAACTGTTATAATGGAACATGCAAAGTACCGCGACAAAAATGCATATTTGTTTCGACGTCCAAAGTCGGCTAACAATTGTGGTAACAACCTTCGTTATCCGCCTCATTATCTAAAGGGGCCGCAAAAGATGCGAGCTACGAATTGGAGACGTCAATGGTAATCCATTACAAAAATTTAACTATCTGGGTAATGTTTTAACAGACAACGAAAAATGTGACATAGAAATCGGAAGGCCTATCGGAATAAAGAAAGATGCCTTTCCAAAGTTAAGCAAAATATTAAGAAACAGGATATTTTTGTTAGAAACATAGAAAAGAGTGCTGGACTACTATGTAGTCAGAATCCATCTTGCAAGTTTAGAAGTCGACCATTCGTCCTTGCTTTGAATATTGCTGCCACATCTGATCTGGTGCTCCTGCTATATATCTCGAAATTCGTGTCACCATCTAAAGAAGAATCTGCAATGTTACCAATCCTGGCATGATATCTCGGCTTCAATCACTTTCCCGCCGCCATAACGTGGATCTGCTCTGCCTTTTCTATAAATATTTTCACGGCAATTAATCTGATGAGCTTACCTATTTGGTATCTCGGCTTCATGAATTAAACGTAGTACTAGATTGGCAGTTAGATGTAACGGTAAGTTCTACTCTAACAGCTTTTTCTCTTGCAATTCCTGCTTGTGGAACTCTCTACCAGTTTTTGCTTTCCTGTAAACTTAAAAAAAAAAATGAATGCAATGTCAATCGCTATCTTCTGTCACGTTGAATTCTGTTCTTTTATTGTCCTTTCTTCCCATTAATGTTTTCTCATTTTCTTTCATTTTCAGTAACCTTTTGCATCTCAGTGGCTTTATTACTTTGCTTAGCATGGAATGATTTTTAAAAAATGGCAATGGATGCTGAATAATTTCCTGAGAGAAGATTTCAAGCAATACAGATGCGGTTCTACAGAATGATGCTGAGAATAGCATGGACTGAAAATGGGAGTAACGAGAAAGTTTTAAGAAAAACAGAAACGAAAAGGTTAATTGCTTAGAATCAGAAAAAGACAATTGATATTTCTGGGACGCATAATGTGGAAAGAGGGCTTGGAGAATTTGACACTCACAGGACATATTGAAGTCAAGAGGCGCTGAGGGAAATAGTAATCCACTTAAAGATCTTTTGTAAACCATGAAGGATAGGAAGTAGTAGAGAGTCATGATCATCTACGTTCTGAAAGGAAGAAGCAGAAAATCTAGTTAGTTTAGGGATTAAGTATTATTAAATACGACTAATATTAATGGCGTCAGTTGAAAGCCCGACATCTTTATTAAGATATCAATAGGAGAATAATAATCTAATCAATAAATATATATGTTTGCGTTAATTTACAGGCCAATATTTAATTAGTTAGCCTCAGGTGATCCATTCTTAATTAGGGGTGTGGTTCGCTCTTTAGGAACTTTGTTTGAATAAAAAGACACTTTCAGAAGCTCTCTGATTTTACAGTCTACACCCTTGTGCAAATTAATTGAAACAACTGCTTTAGTTTTCTTTCTTTCACCATATGGTCAGCTTTAGACCCACTGGAGCGACAGAGTGTAATCGATTTCCATTTTTTCCCAGATTAGGTCATTTGCAGTGGTGTGAAGTAATATGAATCTATTTTCGGGGTGTATGATGAATTTTGTTATACCTTGAAAAATGTTGCGTCATTCGTGTTTGCATTAGAATTTTATCACGCCCAGGTACTATTGTCTCGGCTGTCGATTAGATGTCTTACGGTCATTGTCTGCGATGGGCGTTACTCCAAGGAAGCGTACGAAAATTGTAACGCTACACGAACACACTGGCAAGCCTTACCAGTGAGTAAATCAAAGTAATAGTCCCGGAAACTCTCATGATTTAAATCCAATCAAGAATCTGTGGCCAGTCTGCAAAGAACAACTTCATGGAACGGACAACTAACATATGCACTGGGTCATGTTTCATTGGAAAAATACGAAAAAAAAAATAACGGAATTATTCGTTTTGTTTCAATTAATTTGCAAAAGGGTGTAGAATCTGAATTTTTCTTTCTTCTTATCACTGTCCCATGCACAGTGAAATTGGGTAGCCATCTCCAATTGCACCGGCACACACACACACACACACACACACACACACACACACACACACACACACACACACACACACACACAACGTAGATGGAAGAAACACACACACAAGAGAAGTAGTAACAAGTAAAATTTAAAATAGTGAAAAGTATTGGTAATACAGAGGAGTAACAGAAATACACATATTACCGCAGATAGGTAAAAGTGAAACTTAACGATTAAAACAGCTAAACCAGTTTATCGGTCGTCTCTTATCAGAACAAAAATTAATATGATGCTTATACTTACTGGACCAAAAATAAAACAGACATACTCAAGAGACATTAAGAGCTTTGTTTCACTAAAGTTTATATAAAAAAGATAAAAGAACAGTCTGTAGCTAAAACTCAAGTTTTTGTATTCTTCTTAATTGTTTATCATGTGAACACGCACACAACTAAAATACATACAAACAAGCAACCTTTGTAAATATCATATAATATTGTATAATATGAGTAATAATAATTATTGCAATAACTTTTACTGCAAATATAAATCAAAATATGTGTAATTAATGATACAATTGATAATATTGTTATGATCATTTTGTATCTTGAACTGCTTTAAAAAATAAACCCAATAGGTTTATGGGTAGTCTCAGTCAATTATGAGCCATGCGTGATACACGCTTAGGCGATCATGTATCTTTCGATACATGACTGACGAGGCAGATTTTTCCCCGCAGTAGGTTGCCATTTCTTTCTGCAGTAGACCATCCAAGACTATAGAATCCGGTCTGTCCTGCTATTCACCCATATCTGAGGGGAGAAGAAGAGGATTCATACATTTCCCAAGGGTATTAGCACGTAAATGAATGTCATGGATTCGACTGGAATTCGAACTCGGCTCTCCGATTCCTCAATCCGTGCCGCTATCCATTACTTCACCGTGGTACTTAAATTCCTCTCGATTTAAAACTGTTCAATGTTTCTTGAATTTAACAACTAATGCGATAATTCGTCGTCGAATCTTCGTTTCACTGGGTAAGTATAATTGAGGAGTATTTTTTCCAACATTTGACCAGGACTGACCTTGTGATATTTGCCCTAAAATGAAATAAATCAAACCATTGTGCACTCTTCATCTTCGATTTCCTGTCTCATGTGAACAGAGTGTGTGGCAGACGACTTTTCAGACTAATCAGTTTCAGTGCTAAAAGATTTAACCAATAAAAAAACGACACCCAGAACAAGTAGGTCGTTCGGGGTCAAAGAGTACTTGAACAACCGTTGAAAACAAATCAATTCGTAACACTAGTCCCGTTTTGAAGTGCTTCACACTAGTCACTTCTGGCGCAGTATCTTTTAGTTACTGTATTAACTGACATCTTTAAAATATCGTTAGATACGTAAGTTTGTGGCATCAGTATAAACTAGTGATTTATAAATGCATTTAGTAAGGGTGGTTACTGTTAAAAAAACGGCGAACTAGTCATGTACACTATTAACGTGGGTAAGAATTTCGATCTTCACTAAATTATTCACGGGTATGAAATGTATTTTCGTTTTTTAATCACAGGGAACCTTGCAAGAGCTCCAGTATGCTTTCTTTAAGTTTATGGATAGAGTTATACATTAGGTGTGATTTCCACATGTAATCATTTTTTCAATTTTCTAAATATTACTATAGATTAACCCCTCTAGATCATTACTATAACCGACGTTAAGCAACGTTGAGCCTGGTTAGTACTGAGATGGGTGACCGCTTGGAAATACCAGGTGCTGTAATCTTGAATGTGTGGGTGGTGTAATGTTAACGGCTCGGAATTGGAAATCGGAAAGTCGAGTTCCAATTCCAATCCAGTTAGTTATATTCACTTATGGGAAAATACCACTGGGAAAGATAGGAATCCACCTCTTCTCCCTACAACTATGGGTTAATTAGTAGGACTTGTATCAGTAAATCATTATTATCTCCAATAAAATTCTTACAATCTAAAAATATTTTCTGACTTTGAATAAACTGCGGTTGATAACCCGTAAAAATGCAAATTAATCAATTATTAATATAAAAAAAATAAAATTATTGAACTTTAAAAATGTTAATAGGAGGAAATTTTCTAATTAAAGTCATTGTAAAGTGATGATCCTACGGAGGCCAAAACAAAATATGCTCATACCACATGATTTCTTAAAATATAAAAAGTAATAAAAATGAAATTCGTAATCTTGAGCGTTTAACCTATAGTAATATATGAAAAAAAGAAGAATGAGGCACCTAGTGAGAACCAAACTTGCTACTCAGTAGTAATGGTCAACCAAACCTTCGTTAACTATTACCCCACATCAATATGTCATATCAACGGCCTTGATGTGCGGTTTAAAATGATGCTTAAAATTGCTAGAATCTTATTATTCTATACATCATAATTTCTGAAAGGAAACTGATATAATGGAATATGCATACACCTGTGTCCCCCTCACTGGAATATGATTGGCTGGTGTCCGTCATAAATACCGACGGACGTGTAGGTGAATCAAAGAACCTTAGTCTGAGAGCTAAGTCTATAACGACGTCCATTGGACTACGCCATTGATCTACACTTCTTACCTGCGACTACGACGCATACCAGTCGATTACTGCTACCGTATTCTACTTGGTTATAGTAGCCAAAACCACTTAGTTACTTCGTTCAAATATATCCATTTTCGGGACATATCAGAAACATACAGAATATAGTTGAGTTATAGTCTTTAGATGTGTTAATGAAATAAGCTTTAGAGTAAAGGGCTGTAAAAATGCAAAATATTTTTATCCAGCCTAATAATAATAATAATAATACTGCAATGTATCTTTGAAGATATTCAAAAAGTTGTCAAAGTACAAGGACCTTGAAATAGAAATCTCGAAAATGTGGCATATGGGAACATCAACAATCCCTGTTGTAGTTGGAGCCCTAGGACTGGTTGGAAAAGATTGCAGTAGACTAATTGAAGGGATTCCTGGAAGTCCATGCCTCAAGGAGATACAAAAAATTTTTCTGACAAGTACAGCCCACACCTTACGAAGGGCTTTATCTATGTAATTTAATTTTTTTTTTTTTTTTTTTCAGTGGAAAGTGTCATGACGCCATTTCTAACCTTAGGTCCCTGGGCGGGACCCGGAAAGAAATGTGTAAACGCCAAAAATCAAAGAAAATAAAAATAATAATAATAATAATATAGTGGAGTCATAGATAGTCTTTAGATGTGACCATGAAAAAAATCTTTGGAGTAAAGGGCCATGAAAAATGAAGATATTTTAATCCAAACTAATAATAATAATAATAATAATAATAATAATAATAATAAATGGAATTTTAGATAGTCTTTAGATGTGTCCATGAAATAAGCTTTAGAGTAAAGGGCTGTAAAAACGAAAATATTTTAATACAGCCTATTATACAATAATAATAATAATAATATAGTGGAATCATAGATAGTATTTAGATATGACCATGAAATAATCTTTGGCGTAAAGGACTGTAAAAAAAATACTTTCAGATACATTTTAATAATTAATAAACTTTACTTATAAATCAGATAGACGGAACAGCTAGTGAGCAACAAACTCACATCTACACAATGAATTGATCCGCGAGGCGTTAAACTAGATTTCATTATAAAGGAAGATATTTGTTAAACAGAGGACAGAATATGTGACACCGAAGTCTGAAGGCGCATTAGGATAGCGGGAGATGATTTCCAAAAGCTAAGCATAATAAGTATTAATAAACATGAAAATTTCGTTAGAAACTAATAAAAGAGTACTGGACTGTTATGCATCCTATATGGTAGTGAATGCTCGACAATCTCCTCACAGATAAAGACGAGATTTAAAGCAACCAGAAATGTGGTTGTACAGAAGGATGCTGAGAATACCAGAGATTGAACATGCGAGCAACGACAGAGTTTTTAGAGAAAATGGAAACAAAAATGATACTTATGCTTAGCATCAGAAAAAGTTGAAATTTCTAGGACACATAATGAGGAAAGAGGGTTTGGTAAAATTGACACTGACAAGACATATTGAAGGCAAGAGGGGCAGAGGAAAGTAACGCATAACCTACCTAACGAACGTGTGTGTTAATGGAGGGTAGAACATGGTTTAGGAGTGATATCAAAAGCAAAAAAATCTTTTCTGAGAGATATAAGGAAAAGGAAATTGTGGAGAGCCATGAAGGGACATGGCGCATAGAAGAAGAAGAAGAAGAAGAAGAAGAAGAAGAAGAAGAAGAAGAAGAAGAAGAAGAAACTTAATTTGGCCCAAGAGCAGTTACTTTTCAAATAAGAGCCTGCCTGTTTTGAAGATCAACATAAGAAAAAAAAAAAAAAAAAAAAAAAAGGTTAATGATTTACCAATGTTTTTAAAAGAGAATATCTCGGTTATTTCGGAAAATGTGAGATGATCTGAAGTTCTATGTATTTCCATGGAAGCGACAACAGAGAACTTAATAAGAACACTATTTATTTTTCCACATTGTCACTAACAACCATTAACTATTATGAATATTTCGCAAGTACTTTCATATCAGACGCCATTTTACCATACTGATAGAGCTGTAAAAAGAAAATATTATTATGGGTGACTGGAAAGTAGGTTCAACATCTACTGCCTTACCACCACCACCAACCACTTCTGACGTCGAGGCTCAACATAATAAAATCTTTTAAGTGGTGGTTTCCACCAGTTAAAAAATCAATACAACCTACATATAAGATAATGTAGGGAAAAGGTGAAGGTTAAATAATTTACATACTTATATATATATATATATATATATATATATATATATATATATATATATTAATCATTTCACTCTAAATAAGTCAATAAAAACTACTAACACACAAGGGAGTGGCACTAATAAAATATATGAGAGACAGAAAGGATAATAAAATAAATCTAAAGGACAATAAAAGAACAGGAAAAAGAACAGGAAAAAAACAACAGAATATAACGATTAACATTGCGTTTGAATTTTGGAATATTGTAGTTGACAGGAAAGCAGAAAACTGGAAAATATTTCCACAATCGAGAAGTGCGAAAGAAGAAACTATTAGTATAGAACTTACGGTTACAACATTTACATTCTAAGAACTAAAAATTAAAACAAAGGCAATATAATATTTATCATTTACGAATTTATAAAGAAATAAATATGAATCCAATTTTTTATTCATAAATTTATAAACATTCACTAAATTAAAATATGTGAACCAGCTATATGGAAATACTTATTATTTACCATTTTATAAAGTTCGAATCAATCAGCAATTAGCTGATGTCTTGTCAACCATTCCAATAAACAATCTAATAAATAAATAGTTTTTAATATTTTTGTTGTTATCATGGACCAAAAAAATGTATAAATTCACTTTCATCATATGTTTAGATTTTTTACAATTTTAATCATCGCTTTTTTTTAAAACATTGCCAAGGAGTGAAGGTAATTAAAATAATAGCGGTGTCAAGGAAAAAAACTGTCCTTTTGACACACCGTTTTTTTTTTTGTTTGTTTTTTTCTTGTTTTTTTTTGCGGGCATTAAGATCCAAATTTGCTTTTGATAATCTGATAATCTTTGGTGTCTATGCCAATGACTGAGATTTTCATACCGTAAAAACTTTTTATTGTATTTAAACTTACCTGATCAATGATTTGGGGAATAAAATAAATATGTAAAAATCTTTTTTCAATATTTACGTAACTTAATACAACGCAATACCAGACACGAAATGAGGATATGAAGACTGTATTACGCCAATCTTCTGAAATTAAGAATGATGATGAGCGTGGTCGTCTTTTAAGCCATTGGTGGTAACTTCATATTTCAATTGGTGCCTTATAGATCACTCTTTGTAACAGTAGTACAAAAATAGATTTAAAATCGTCAATGAGTTATTTGTTTAAAACTCGTTCATCATCAAATACTGTTTGGTTAATGATCAACTTACCGAAAATAGTAGCATAGTTTTTCAGGGTCGTGACCCTCATCGGGTTACATTTCAATAACGTCTTTCTACTTTATCTTCTGTTCCACAAATCGATTTTTCTTTTAATCTCTTTAATCTCATTTTTTTCTGTGGTTGTGGCCCTAGACACCATGTGGATTATATGACCAAGATATACTTTTTGCGGTTTCAAATGTAAGAGAATTTTCACCGTGTCCAGATCTTATTCCTACAGACATATTGTGGAGCGTAAAGCCATTATCACATCAAATGTTCAGCACTCTTTTCTTTATTTCTAACATAATTTTCCTGTTTCTTAATACTTCGCTTAGCTTTTGGAAAGCATCTGTCGTTATCCTAATACGCCTTCGGATTTCGCCTGTCAAACTTTTCCTCATCTGTTAAAATACTTCTCAGGTATCTAAACTTCTTAGAAAGCGGTTGTATATTGCTGACAGTTTAGATATTCCTGAAAGAGTTTGGTGCCATACACGGCATCCATATGTAAGTCTCAAATCTGAATTTAAGAACGAGACTCGAGTATTTAGGTAAAAGCTTTGATTTTATAACAATTTTTGCTGTTAGCCGAAACCACCTCTAGCAGAGCCTATATTATAGTCCCTCTAACTACAGAGGAAGGGTAAAAGTGTTTTACTTGCTATTATTCAATTATTATTATTGTTAGGTATTTTTGAATCAATGCAGTTATTCTCCAGGTCTCTATGCTTGGACCTACGTTTTTCCTAATTTTCAAAAGCGATCTTCCTGATGTCATCAGCTCTCAACTCGGTACCTAT